GAGCCGGGTGGGGGGGCCGGCAACCCTGGCGTGGCTGCTGGCACGCCCTGCCCTGGCCACGAGGAGGCGGGCACTTTGGGGGTGGGCCGCACGGTGAAGTGGGTCATGGGTGGGGGGGTGAGGCGGGGGCTGGGAGGCGTGAGGTGGTGGGGGATGGGCCCCTGGGGCACGTCATTGCCATCCTCCTTGTCACGGCCATCGTCCTTGTTATCGTCACGGCCGTCACCCTCGTCAGCGTTGTCGTCGTCCACCCTAGCTGCGTCCCTGTCCCTGCGCCACAGGCGGTGCCCTGTGGGGGAAGCAGCTGGGCAGCAAGAGACGACCCTCGCTCCCAGTCGCTCCCCGCGGCTGCTGTCCTTCCCTCCGGGAGGTTGGGGCTGGACTCGACCCGGGAAGGCAGCTGGCTCAGCCCAGCCGCTGCGCTGGCACTGCATAGCCTGGCTGCCCCAGGGCTGCTGTCTTGGCACCACAGCCAGGCCAGGCCAGGCAGTGCGACGCAGGCCACGCACTGGCCCCCGAGCAGGTGGGGCCCTACCTGAGGGGGCTCTGCTGTGGTTCATCCCGGCTTGGCGCACATCACTCAGGCCCCTGTCTGGGGAGAGCACAATGCGGGAACCAGCGTGTCCCACAGGGCCCCGACGCTGTGCCCAGCCCTGCCAGAGCCCTGCAGGGGACAGCTCACAAGCGCCGAGTCCTGTGGGCCCGGGCTGGGGTGGCGGTGTCAGCTCCTGTCTGGCCCGGAGCCTGAGCCCCCTTCCCTGTTGCCTGTGGCGCTGTGCCCCACATGCCCGGGCCTGGAGCAGCCCGTGCGCCATGCAGCCCTGTTCCCCCGTGGCCCTGAGCACGGTGGTCCTGCAGCCACAGCCCTGCGCAGGGGCAGCCGCAGCCGCGACCGGCACTCACCGAAGCGGCAGATGAAGCGCAGCTCCTGCGCACACGAGCCCCTCCCAGTGCGGACGGCACCTGAGGCCCAGACGAGGTAGCTGCAGCTGGTGGGTGGGGGCGGCATGGCCACAGCTGCCCCTCTGCCCGGCAGCTCAGTGGAGGAGATGCCGTGTGTTGTGCTGCTGCGGCCTGGGCCCGGGCGAGGTGGCGGAGGGAGGCGTGAGGAAGGCCCAGAGCTCCGGCTCTTGCCCCCTGGCTCCGTCAGGCTGATCCACCACCTCTGCCCCTTCCCATGGCGGCTGCACATGGGGGACCACACAGCCAGGTGTGAGGGGTGCGCAAGGTGCCCGCCACCAGCCTGGCACCAGCCCCGTGCTTCCCAGAAGCTGAGCTGCAGCCTGACAAACTCATAGCAGCTGTCACCCAGGCACTGCCGTGGCTGGGGGGGGCTCAGGGTGGTGCCTGCGCAGGCAACGCTCGCCCCCAGCCAGAGCCAGAGCCGGAGCCGGAGCCGGAGCCGCGTCTGCATCCCGGTGTGCAGCCTCACGGCCCGTGGCCGGCTCCTGCTGGCCCTCCTTTTATGCCCAGCGGGGCCTTTGTCTGCGGCAGCAGGTGCTGGATGATCTGACCTGCTGCAAACAAAGCCCCCCGCAGCGGAGGCAGCTGCAGCCCGGGGAGGCCTGCATGGGCGCAGTGTTTACGCAGGGGCCTGGCTGCTCTCGCTGCCCCCGCCCCGGCTGCAGCAGGTGCAAGCTGGCGGCTGGCACGGGGCCGCACACCTGCTGGGCGGGCCCTGCCGCACGCAGGCCCCGGGGCCAGCTGCCCCCCCGG